GTGCCTACAATTGCTTATACAGCATAATTCTTCCCAGTATCATGACTCTTGGGACATGAATAAGCATATCCAGTCTTATCCTCAAGGAGAAGGGGACGACAGAGGACAAGAGGGTTGGACAGTGTTCTCGAAGCTACCAACATTAGTCTGATCAAACTGCGGGAGGCAGTGGAAGACAGGAATGCCTGGCGTACTCTGGTCCATGGGGTCACGAAGTGTCGGACACGACTAAACGACTAAACGACAAAGTCTTCTCCTTTCCTGAACTTCCTTTGTACATGGTATCGTCTGGGCTGGCCAAAGAGAATTTGCTGTTTCAGGTGGAGTAGCAAATGGCACCCCTTTCTCCAAGTCAAGGCGCATGGTGCTAAGCATTTTTTCTGGCAACCGATGTGGAAAATCTCACAAGCATCTCTCTACAGTAGTAAAAATGCAGCAATAATTAATTAAATCACTAAATAGTATGCTGCCTTTCGTGACACCCACAATCTATTACTCTCCCTAATGGTAGAGACAGCCCTCTCACACCTCTTAATATATTGATAATAGTGTTATTTCCACTCCCCCCCCCAAAAAAGACATGACAGAATGGCTGAAATTACTGATAATTGCCCCTAATCTTTGTGCACTGATCTTTCCAGAGGAAACTGCTCACAAAGTCTCAAAGAAACAAAGAGGTTAGCAGCTGAGTGAATTAAGAGCTCTTTTGGAATAGCGAGTTAAGGCTGAATGATTTCCATTTCCATCTTCTCTAAGAGTTCCATAAATCTGCATCAGTGGATGAGTAAATGGGAGTGTTTGGATTCAAAAAAACAAAACCCAGAAAGGTGGGCAGGTATTTAGAGCATTCCAAGAGGGGGAAACTTGCAAGTCGAGTAGTCAGGTACAGTTGAAGCCATCATAAAGGTGGGTTCTTTAGAGACATGAACCCACATATTGTCTTATCACAAGCCATTCGAGTTACTGGCAGTATTATAAAGTTATCAGCACCAAAACTCACTCAGTAAAAAGTCATGCACAAAGTGGTTTATCATGGTGCAGTGTGGCAGAAGTCCAGAAGAGGGAGTCCTTGACCTCACAGGTGAAAAGGAGAGAATAAAGATGCAAAGGGAATTGTGTCCTGGTGCTTGCAGCAATAATACCGAGCAATGAGAGACTCAAGGAGAGAATGCCTTACTTAAAATCTAATGAATTCATGGCAGAGCCATGATTTGAACTGGGAAAGTCCTGGATCATACAAAGAGCATGCAGCTGGTAGATATGTCACTTATCGGCAAGGAAAGAAGTATCACGCTTCGTTGAAGAACCAAAAATTGGGGGTTGGTGTTTTCTGCTCAGTTAAGGACAGTTATAATAAATAGATTAACAAGAAACTACCAGTGGGAGTGGTGGGCAGGGAGTTTAAAGGACACAATTAGAAGAAAGGCAGAGGAGATTAATATACCCTGAGCTGGTTCTGAACTTGGCTTGGAGTGGGAAGACTATTAAATGGCCTCAGAGAACAGAGCTGCCAAACATGATAAACCACATCTTTAGCATGCTTTCTTCGAGGTGAATTGTTGAGCCAGCCCCGCGGCAGCAAAGAAGGTAAATGAGAGAAGAGCCACATGCAGTTCCTGAACAACATTGTAAAGAATTCAGGACTTTAACATGACGTAGCTGCTGTTCTTGCTGAAGTGTTTGGAGAGGCAGTTATAAGAAGCAGCAAGGGTGTGTAAATGGCTAGAAGAGAAATAACCAGTGTGCATTGCAGCGGGTCAGACTAAATGACCCTCGGGGTCCCTGCCAACTCTACAATTCCAATATGCCCCTTGATGTGGACTCTTATCAGCTCCAGCCAGCATGGCCAATGGTCAAGGATATTGGGAGCTGTAGTCCAACAAACACCTGGTGGAGGGCACCATATAGTCTGCTGCATATTGGCTGCTAGCCTTGAGCAACGACGTGAGGCTCAGGCATGGACATGCTGAAATTCCTGCTGAGCTCTGACACTCACAGGCAGATTGGAAAGTCACCCTCTCTACAACCCCACCTACTCTGCAGGGTTGTTGTGAGGCTCAAACTACTTTGTGAAAACTGGACGGAAGATTGGAAACTAAGCTAACAAATAAATAAGCTAAAGCGAACGTTGCAAGCCCTTAACTTTGATTTCAAAATGTCACACGCTTGCTCTTTATGTTATATGTCATGCCTGTGCTAATGACAGCAAAGCAGCATCAACAGCAATCTTCAGTAATATGCGTAATAATGTTTTAAATGTGTTGCACATGATAATTAGTTGCCTTGAGGTTAACTACTGAAGGGAAATGTTAATCAGATGTAAACTTATAATTGGCATTCATTTCATGCGCTTTTTGAAAGGAGGACTATTTGAGTAGGATCAATTGTTTGATCTGGGTTCTCTTACACAGAACCTTCACAGAAACTGAAGTCACCACGATGTGTGCGTGTGCGTGCATTACATGCATATTGACTGAAATTATTTGGTAGAGTACTTTGAAGCCGCAATCTTACATACAATTTCAAGACACACTGAACACAATCTGACATTTACTTCTGATTTTATGCATAGGATCACACTGCCCAGGTTGTAATTTATACGAACAAAGAAAATAAGGTTATAATTCATCACAAAGAAAAGTAATGATGTCTGTTGAAAAGGGATTGTAATTATCTCTGCCCCCTAATTCTTTTGGATTGTTTTGAGTTGTTCTAGTGAAATGTTTTGAGCCTCCTATATAAACACAAAAAACTGTTCAAAAAACTGAGGACAAACCTAGAAGTCCTTAAAACAGAAGCACTGCCTTCAAGTTTTAGCTCTGCCTAAAATCCATGTCTTCTAGCCAGGAGGCTCTGCTCCCTAATCCCAGATGCGTGATGCCTGTTTAGGTTATCCACTGGTGAGGGGGAAACTATTCCACAGACACTCACAGGCTCTCAAATGTCTCCAGCGTTTGTCCAGCCCTGCTCATATTAAGCCCAAGTCTGTATTATTACTGTTATTTCCATCATCATCAATTATTTCCATTATTATTCTTTTCATTATTATTTCCAACAGTCAAGTAAAATACCAAAGGCACATATGTGCATCTGTCCCTATTCAGAACAAATATTCGACGTACTAACAGCAAACTCATAAGAATCAGAGAATTGTAAAGTTGGAAGGGACCGCAAGGCTCCTCTAGTCCAACCCCCTGCAGTGCAGGTATCTCAACATGCGGTTTCCCATCCAATTGGAAACCATACAGGACCCTGCTTAGCTTTTATGAATGTGCTAGCAGTTTTACTGCTGCACCACTAGGGGTTGTTCCCTGGCCCGATGGTCTGCCCTTACGCAGCCAAAGGGATGCCACTCGGGGGAGAACAGAACACCAGGAGGGAGGGCAAATGAAACAGAGCGTTCTGGAAGAAGAAGAAGAGTTTGGATTTGATATCCCGCTTTATCACTACCCGAAGGAGTCTCAAAGCGGCTAACATTCTCCTTTCCCTTCCTCCCCCACAACAAACACTCTGTGAGGTGAGTAGGGCTGAGAGACTTCAGAGAAGCGTGACTAGCCCAAGGTCACCCAGCAGCTGCATGTGGAGGAGCGGAGACGCGAACCCGGTTCACCAGATTACGAGTCCACCGCTCTTAACCACTACACCACACTGGCTCTAGGTGTGGCTGGCCTAGAACGCAGAACAGGAACACACCCCACAACCACACAGTTGCGTCGCAACGGGAGGGCAGTGCCATGTCTGGGGGATTGTATGACAAGAAGGCACCCCATGGGGGCTCGCGGCGGTGTGAGCAGCCATTGAGCCGCCACAGCCGCATGTGGAGGATCTTCCGTTCATGGCTTCAGCTCCGAGCAGAGGATCCTGGCGTCGGCGGCAAACTGCTATACACAGTGCATGTGCAGCGTCACACGCATGCACTGTACGTAACGATGCCGCACTTGCGCTGTACATAGTGGTTTGCCACTGGCGCCGCTTGAGCGGCATACGAATGGCGGTGGGATCCCTCCATGGCTGCTACAGCTGCATGTAGAGGAACCTCCGTTTGCAGCTGCAGCCATGAGCAGAGGATCCCGGCACCGTCCATACGGCGCTGGAGTGCTGCTGCCGCCAAACCGCTATGTATAGCGCATGTGTGGTGTTGCTACATACGACGCATGCGTCGTACGTAGTGACGCTGCACGTGCGCCCTACGTAGCGACGCCCCACCCTGGGTGTCACGGCGCCTTCGTTCACCCCTGCAACCACATCCCCACCCAATGCTCACCAACCCACTTTTAGACAGTTTACTTTCCTTTGAGGTTAGTTGAAAAGGGATGTTAGCCGATAAGAGTTGTAGGCAGGGATGTGCATGCGCACTGTAAGGGACTAGCCTTCTTAGAGACACGCCAGACTTCTTCCCTGAAGCTATAGGTTCCCGTAAACAAAATATCCTTTCCTAACCTATGAGGGGAAGCATGTGGGCAGAATATTGCCTAATCACTCACTTAAAAGGGAAACCGGGCTGCTCCCACCTTCCAGTCTCACTCACCGAGGAATACAAAGGCGGTAGGGAAACTGGCAAGCCCTTATTTTTAAAATTCATAAAAGTATATTTTATCAATATTTAATACTGCAGAATGACATTAAGCTTTCAAGTCTACCTGTATTTATGTTCTATCTGCTCTGCAATGATTCCCCTGCCTCTCACCAAAACAGTTTTGGCTACAGGCTTGTCGTATAGGATGAAAATGGCAGGGAAAATGCACATTGCATTTGTCCGTCCCTGCTTATTAAACATGAAACGCTAACCTGCCGGTTGCCCATGCAATCTGATAAATCTAACAACCAGCAGATACTAGAAGGCATCGCATCAAGCAGTTGAATAAATTCAAAGATCCACTTAAGAGCGGTCAGATCCCTCCCCCCCCCATCTACTGGTATGATGAACACGTTAAAAAAATTATTCCAAGCACATGGAAGCAGCAGTATGAAAGAAGACACACAGAGCTGATGATACTCACGTCAGAGTTAAAGCGAAGTTGACAGACATTACAAGAAATGACTTGTTTCTTCTTTGTGGGGAGCGACACACCAAATGTGTGGTTTATGACTGCTTTTTGCACCGGATCCATCTGAAGAGAGCAAATAAAAAAAATAAAATAAAATATCCAAGTTACAGTTTCACACGACGTGCAGCAAAGAAAACGAAAAGCTGAAAATTAGACCCATTCCCAGAAAAAAAATCTTTGCTCTTAAGAGGATCGAACAGCATTCCAAATCGAACAGAAACAAACGAACAATTAAGTGAATATGGGAAGCAGTTTGTAAAATGGACAAATATTGTAGAATGCCAAATGCTGACCACCATAAAGGGACTTCGGTTTCTTTGCTCTCTTGGAAAAGAGAAAATTAAAGCCACCTTTCAAGAGAGAGAAGGAAGAGGAGAATTTTTATGCTTAATACACGTAGGGCTTCTTTAGCTTGCATTTGTTGCCAAACCAGTCTTGCTAAACTGACCTGGAAGCCTGAAATTTAAGATGAGAACTGTCTGGCAAAAAAACCCCCCCTGTGGAATGTGAATGGCTGTTTTTCAAACTGAGGGGTGGGCGGGACCAATAAAAACAAAGGTGGGATTAATGTAAAAGACCACATTACCTTGCCTGGTGGTAGTGAAGTCTATAAGCTAATTTGAGTTGTGTGAAAGAGTTCTTTCTTTTGTCTGTTCTGAATCTAGTGCCAAACAATTTCAATGGGTGAGTCTGAGCTTCATTTTACGAGAGAAAGAGAGAGACCTTTCTATCCATCCTCTCTAAATCAACCTTAATTTTATAAGCCATGGTAAGTCTTTTTTTCCTTCCAAAGCTAAAAAAACTCTAAATGCTTTAATCTTTCCTTGGAGACAAATTGCTCCACTCTTGATCCTAGAGGAAATGCAAAAGTGTTCTCATTTTCTCTCGCACAAAAAATAAATTGGGAAACTCATCTTTGGTAAGAGTGTTTGTTCAAAGCAGGCATCTTTAGACTTTTATCATACTAGGAAAAAATGACTCGTATTCCCCTATGTCCTCTATTATAGAATCAACAAGTGATGCAATTCTAAAGATTATTCAGACAATGACTTTTAAGACTTGTTTTGCATTAGTGAGAGGTATAACATTGGTAGTACTCCAACTATTTCAACTTTTAAATGAAAACTTTTCTGTTCCGCCAAGTCTATCTATGCAGGCAATTAATCTTTCCACCATGGTTAATTGATTTTCACCTTTCTTACATGATTTTTAATGCATGGTTTGTGGTTGTGGTTTGAAAATTGCTTTCTAGCTTACTTTCTCTGGCTGCAATCTATGGTCCATGGGAAGGCGTTGGGATGTTTTGGGTCTTCTGGCAGCGGTTCTCAACCTGTGGGTCCCCAGATGTTGTAGGACTACAACTCCCATCATCCCTGAGCTCTGGCCTTGCTAGCTAGGGGTGATGGGAGTTGTAGTTCAACAACATCTGGGGACCCACAGGTTGAGAAAGGCTGGCTTAGAGGGTGGGGAGACAGCCAGCCCTTGTAGAGGGTGATCTGACCCCCCAAAAAGCCTCTTTCTACTGCTGCAGAAACTTCCCCATCCCAAAGCCTATCTCCAAAACCTACACATTCCTACTCTGGAGCTGGTGCAGGCATTTCCTTTCACTGGAAACGATGGATGGGATTTTTTTTTGGAGGGTAGTAACAAACTGAAAAGGGCAAAAGTAAAGGAAAAGTTGCTGTGGCTTCACTTTTGCCATCCCAGTGCAAGCCTGGCATGGCACTGGAAAAGGCTGTTTACCCAACTCAGGTCTTCCTCATTCCCTTCCCAACTGCTCTATTAATCACAATCACTGCATTTTCTTATGTTTGATTATACTTCCATAAATCCATCTCACCATAAGACAACAGGAACTTTATTGGACCCAGAGCAGGCTTATTTTGGCTTCCACCTCAACAAATGTAAAACTACCAACACAAGAATGAAAAGCGAAAACTGAGCAAAGAAACACCATAAAACACTGGGCTGAAACACAAATTACACCAAAAACCCATTGTAGACAATTGGTTCCTTCCAAATGGCCATAATAAACCAATGGATTTATTAGGTACCATCAAAATAGTTGTCTTTCAGGGACAACTCCAAATTGTTGCTTACACAGCACTGTCTCCATATGATGAAAACCACTGGAATGCATTAAACCAGGTGTGCCAGGAGGTTTTATCAGGTGGTCTTCTGACACAATCTCCAAATTTCCTGAGAGCATTTAGATGCTTACAGCTCACCCTTCCCCTGAACTTTCCATAGTAATGGCCTGTCTTTCCTAATTGAACAGCTGTCTTTCTAAATAGCCACAGGTACTCATTGGCCTGAGACTAGCAGTCCCATGGTTCTCCATGGAAAACAGCAGATGTTCTGGTGTTGCTCACAGGTACATTAAGTGAATCCCTTTCTAACACCCCGGTGGCAAATTTGAGGAGTGATATCTTAAACCAGAAATAAGGGGAATGAGAGACTACAAAAATTAGCCAAGCTGCCTGCAAGCTGATGGGAGTTTGAGTTCAGGTCCCCCACTCTTATCTTAAACCAAACACATAACATATTTACAGTGGTACCATGGGTTAAGTACTTAAGTCGTTCCGGAGGTCCATTCTTAACCTGAAACTGTTCTTAACCTGAAGCACCACTTTAGCTAATGGGGCCTCCCGCTGCTGCCGCGCCACCGGAGCACGATTTCTGTTCCCATCCTGAAGCAAAGTTCTTAACCCGAGGTACTATTTCTGGGTTAGCGGAGTCTGTAACCTGAAGCATATGTAACCTGAAGCGTATGTAACCCAAGGTACCACTGTATTTAAATTTTATTCTGCCTTTCTCCCAGCAGGCATCTCCCAGCAGAAATTAAAATAGATACAACTAAAACACACAATAAATGTAAGTATTTTTTAAAAAATAATCAAGTAAGTAACCCCACTAAAACTGTTTAAAAGCACAGACACACAACACAATACTTAAAAGACTCTTACACAACGGCCAGTTAGTGGCCAAAAAAGTCTGTAAGAACAAAAAAGAATTTGCTGCTGGCAAAAAAGGAAAGCAAATAGAGGACTAGCCTAGCATCCTGTGGAAGCCAGTTCCGCTATCTGGGAGCAGCCACTGAGAAGGCCCTCTTTTGTGTCCTTACCAGATGTGCCTTCAAACGTGGAGGGGCAGAGAGAAATGCCTCCCCCAAAGATCTCAAAGCTCAGGCAGACTCATGTAGAGAGATATGGTCCTTCAGGTAGATATCAGAGAACACGGGCTATCGAAATAACCAGCCCCCATGGGGAAGTGGCTTTGTTTATGAGCTGCTTCACAAACTTCATTTTTTTCTCCCACAGAAATGATCACTGTGGGTATGATGGAGCCAAAGTAAAGCATTAAAAATAATAATCTTAATGATTTTAATTGGGCAAGTTTAAGCACATACCTCACCCACATGGGTCAACTACTAGTGCTTAATTTTGTCTGGATTCTGCCTTGCGCTAGGAAAACTGTGCACCTGAAGTGCAACAGGAGAAGGTCCCCCAACACCTGCTTAAATCACGCAAACCAGGCAATCAACGAAGCCGATACAAATCACTTCCATACACATTTGCACTGAACTAGAACACAGGCACATGAGGCTGTTTTGCATAACACCACGTGTTCAGCCAGTTTATGACTGAGACTAATTAGCTTCCAAATGGCAGATAAAAGGGGATTTCACAGCTAAAATGTGTTCATTCAGGACCATTTGGATAATTCTGTTTTGCTTTTGTTACGGGCTAAGCAATTCTATACCCATATTACCCCGGAACTGTAAATATGCTGCCATAACACTGGTGGAATGGCCACGGTATCCAACGCTCAGCTCTGTCACAGTGATGCGGCTGGGATGGTAAACTGACACGGTGGCTACTTTTTTTTTTTTAAATGGTACAGTTCTTTTTAAATGGCTCTTCCCATGTGCCACCCACATCCAGCCCATCATTATGCCCAATTTCAGCCATTATGCCAGCATATCTTCACTGGTGGGACACCTCTAGTAGCGGGGAGTTCCACTGGTGTATCCAAAGTGCTTTGCCAGCACACCTGTCATAGTGATGGTGTACGCTGTGCTCTGCTGGTGTAGCAAGGCACTGGCCAAATCACAAAGCCCTGCAGCTGGCGGATCCCCAAAACAGGATTACATATATTTTATTAAATAGATTTTATTAACAACATGTAGTCAGGTAACAAGGGCTAAATCACTAATTGTAATAAAACTTCTTGCACATGGAATGAAACCCTTCCCGTTTCTATTCCAACCGCACACGAACAGCTACACCTTCAAACAATTCGCCCGGAAATTTAATATTGCTCTTCAGAGCAACAGATTCTATTGAAGCCAGACGCTTACAAAATCACTGTACACATTAAATGCCCTAAGGCAAGTTATTAAATTTACACATGCAAATACCCAAGACATTTCTTAACTAATAATATCCAATTCCTGCTCCAAGATGTACCACAGTATTATTTTCACCATTTGCTACTGCTTCTGTTAGCATGTAATATCGTTAAGTACACAGGTGATACACACATCCTTCTGCACCTATGCAGCAAATTCTCTTATCGGCAGGTAGCTTTTTAAATGTACTGTGGTGTCTTTTAGGGGTTTTAAATAAATAAGTAAATAATAAACCAGTCTGCTAATTACCACAGCTGTTAATCACAAAATACTGCAGTAATGCAAAGTACCTGAACCATCAGAAGTAGCTGGCACCAGTAAAGAGGAAAGGCAGAAAGAAACACTATCGTCTGTAGAGCTGTTTGAAGACCCAGCAGTGCTCCTCCAGAGATTTCCAGATAATAATCCGCAGCGGTAACACCAGGCAGTTGGTAGTTAAAATTAAAAAGGCAACACTACAATGCAACACAGGCTGTGATGAAAATCCTCGTCTCCAACAGCAAGCGGCAACCAGGAGAAACTCACACAAACAATACGGCTGGCAGAGTCTCCCGAGGCTAAGATCAGTACTCCTGTGGGAGCAAACTGGTGTTCTTTCCCAAACTGGAGGACTGAATGCAGCCTGCTTCCAGAACAGAATTCAAGAAGGCTCAGCATTAACAATTAATACTCTTTAAATATGTCAGAAAGCAGGGTGGATTACAGCATGTTTGAATAGCAAAATAGTACCTGTCTGCCAGAAGGTTAGTGCTGTGTTTTTAAACCGATCTTGGATTGCTAAATAAAATTAAACATGCCATGATGAGTAACTGGCATAATTTGTTGGTGTTAGTTGCTGCTTGCTTCTCAGAGAAACTAGCTAGCTTGTCAGGTACTAATAATTGTGGTCTATTTAGCTGAAAAGAAACTGACAAGCGTTTAACCCAGTATTCGCTGTGTTTTGGAGAGATGCTAGCTATGGGCAAAACATACCAACTAACATAGTTAGCAGTGCAGGCAAGTTCCAGGTGTATTCTCTGTTTAATCTCTTTTGTAAACAGTTGCTTGAAACAGGGACAGGCAAACCTGTTGGACTGTATCAGTAGTACATCAAGAATCAGAAACAACTTGTTCTCTTCTGCACCATACAAAGGAAAATAATCCCTATTCGTGTGAGTCACTTGCCCTGGTTAACATGGATTGCTATGCAATATTTCCCCACATTATATTTCCCCACCTTTTTTCTTCCTAAATTTGATGAGACACTAAAAGGTGAGTGGAAATGAATGGTTTTTAAATATGAAAATGGAAATTAAAAAAATGAATGCATAGATTTTTAGTGTTTTCTAAATTTCACATATAGTTTAATAACGATAGTTTAAAATAAAGTTTGAATATAATGCAAACATTTAAAATGCAAGCTGTTGTTTATATTCTCTTAAATCTGGATCTATGGCTTTGCCAGTTCTTTAAGGTAAAGAATGAACTGTGTGTTGTTTGAGATCAAGTGTTATAAATACTGCCCATGATATGCCATATTGTGTAGTGTGTTTATGAACATGGATTTGATTCTACATAGACTACGATCGTTACAGATGTTGGGAACCACTTCTTTTCTCTATAAGACATCATTTTGTACTTTACCAGGATCTTTTCCAGCCTGTCTGGTTACCTCAGTTGAAATCTTATATTCTTAAAGCTTCAGAGCTCTGTAATTTGCTCAGTTCTCATGATATAAACGTTTGTAGAAGCAACACAGACATACACTTCCCATCTCTGGGACAATTTCAATATGCCTAGTAACTACTACCCCTTTGATTCTGTAACACTCTGGGCGCATTCTTCAACTAAGAGGTCTTATTTAGTGTCCTTGCATGTACACACATAAAAAATAAATAAGTGTCATTTTATTTGTTTAAAATCGTTTTTCTCCTAATCCAATGGAAGGTAGTCATGCTTAACTCAATGGGACTTTAATTATTTCTGATGGGCAGATACATCCAACCCTGTGATGGATGGGGGATGTCTGCTGCTTGAGCAGAGGTGCCTTTGTTCAGTTCTGCTGACTGAGTCAGCCTCCTGCCAGCTGCTGAAGTTGTGGGCAGGTGGAAAATTCTCTGTCAGTGGATGGTTCCAAAATGAGGCACAATGAGAGCATGGAGGGAGCATGACTGAGTTGGCCCAGAATCTGCTGGATCCAGACCTGACCACTGCATCAACCTGCAGCTTTTGAAGAGATTGGGCCCAATTGTTTTGTCCCCTCCTTCCACCATGACCACAATTGATTTGTGAAGAATTTAAGGGTGGCTGGATAAAGACCATTGAATAATGCTGTGCAAAAAACAACAACATGGATTGCTTGAGCAAATGTTTGAAGCAGGGATGGGGAACATCTGGCCCTCCATATGTTGCTGGACCACAACTCCCATTACCCCTGTCTATTAACCAAGCTGGCTGGAGCTGATGGGAGTTGTCAACAACATCTAGAGCAGGTTTCCTCAACCTTGGCCCTCCAGATGTTTTTGGCCTACAACTCCTATGATCCCTAGCTAGCAGGACCAATAGTCAGGGATGATGGGAATTGTAGTCTCAAAACATCTGGAGGGCTGAGGTTGAGGAAGCCTGATCAAGAGGTCCCCCATGTGTGCTTTTGGGTTACAGTTCTAGGAATCTGAGTGCTCTTTTTGGTTGCAAATGATCATGTTTTTTATGCTTCTACCAACAAATTATTGAGCGCTTCTGCCTAGGAAATAAGAAAAGTAGTAATGGGAAACTTGATTTATATCAGTTATTTAAATTAGTCTTTTCTCTTGGTGATTTAAATTGCCTTGATTTAAACTAATACCCTGGAACATATTCCAGCAATTCCACCTTCTTTCTTCTATAAATTCATCAACAGTACAGAGCCACTTCAAAGCCTGAAGTTATCTGTTCATCTTCACATGAGTACAGATATTAGTTTTGCATTCTTACACAAACAAGAACTCTCTTATTTTTAGTATTAATTTATTTCACAAACCTCTGCATCAAAATACCTCTGTAAGACTTACAACTGCGATATAGCGTACAACTAACAAAAACATGCTATGTAATAAAAAACTACTTTATCACACACGCTCGAAGAACAGAACTGATCTTACTGAGACTCATGTCTATCTTCAGCTTCAAGGATTTCACCACAACAACCTTTTCTTCCTCGTCTTCCCAGCCAGAAGTGGCATGGGAGCCAACTTCTACTGGGCATCACTTCTGCCCAACAGAGAGGCCTCAGGTTGGGTCAACCTGTGCAAAACTGCATGGGACTGCATGGTGTCTTAAGCAAAGCTTCCCTCTCTTGTCCATGTGAATAGGGATGCCATGCACCAAATAGGGGCAAAAGTGAACACCCCTGGTCAGCGGCGGAAGAAGCCACTCGGATGCCTCGGGTGGCGTGTCCGGGGGTAGGGAGAGGAAGGGGCACACCGCGGGGCCTCCGGAGTCTGCACTCAGCCGCCCTACAGCTGGGGGAGGCAGTGGGTGGACCGTTTGGGCAGCGCAGAGAGACGTGGGGCTCAGGTGCGCTGCAGGCCCCGCGGTGAGTGCTGCCTGGCATTTTGTGACCCCCCTCAGTGGTGACCCAGGGCGGACTGAATCCACCGCACCCCCTTCCTCTGCCCCTGCTTGGTTCCTCACACAACCTCTGCTCAGCCCAACTTTCATGAACAAGCTACTGCTTCTGCAGCTTCATTCCATTATTAATAAATCAAATTAAGGATAACAGGGCTGTTTACGGTATGAAAACACAAAAATGCACAATGTAATAACAAACAAAAAAATACCGGTCCCTAGTTTAAAAGGCCATAGATTGTTTAACTGGCCAAAGGTCTGGGAGAAGAAGAGTGTTTTTGCCTGGTACAGTGGTACCTCTGGTTACGTACTTAATTCGTTCCGGAGGTCCGTTCTTAACCTGAAACTGCTCTTAACCTGAAGCACCACTTTCGCTAATGGGGCCTCCCGGTGCCGCCGCTGTGTGATTTCTGTTCTCATCCTGAAGCAAAGTTCTTAACCCGAGGTACTATTTCTGGGTTAGCGGAGTCTGTAACCTGAAGCGTATGTAACCTGAAGTGTATGGAACCCCAGGTACCATTGTATCTAAATACAGTCAAACCTCGTTCTGCGTCCGCCTCTGCTTGCGTCCGCCTCAGTGAATGTCTGTGGCAAACCCAGAAGTACTGGAATGGCTTACTTCCGGGTTCGCCGCTCACGCATGCTAAATTGCGCTGCGCATGTGCACAGATGCGGCACTTTGACGTGTATCATTTTCAGCTTGCGGATGGGTCTCTGGAACGGATCCCGTCTGCAAAACGAGGTTTGACTGTATATGTAATGGAGGTGCCAAGCGAGCCGCCCTGGGGAGAGCATTCCACAAATGGGGAGCCACCACAGAAAAGGCCTGTTCTCATCAGTACTAAGTTACCAAATAGGCAGAGGTGAAGGTTAGTCTCATACAACCCACTGAATGGGTCAAATCCTCTATCTCTAAACAGTCTTAAATAGATACTCATTTTGAAATCTCAGGGCTTCTGTTGCTACTAGATTACTAAAGATCACAGCATCATCTGAATGCAACTGGACATTTTTTAGCTCAAAAAGCAGAGTGCTCTAAAAGATATTGCTGGCAATCTCTATGTACCAAACTTTTTAAGAAGGCTCTGTGTGTGTGTGATTTTAGGAACTCACTTCCTGAAATAATTTAAGATCGGTGTTTCAACAGCTCAGCTCAAAGGATTCAGGCTCCTACCGCAGCTGGTGGCTGATGGAAGATCACGATGATATAACTCACTTCAGGAGCTTTTTACTAGCTATAAGACTACCACACTACATTCTGCCCAGGAGTTCTGGAAACAACACACCTAAATAACCATTAAACTGTTTAGCTTAAGAGTGGAAACTTCTGATCTCCTCCTCGAGGCTGTGCTGGAGGAGCAGAGGGGAGGAGGGAGAACGCAAGCTCAAGGCTCACTGCTGTTAGTGAACATAACACTAAACAAGAATGGTTAATAACTGAGAGACAGCAGCAGCTTCAGTTTTTCATTACACGAAGAAAAATGGATTGCTGTTACTGAGGAGTGTTGCTCCTAGTTATAGCTGAACTTGTGCACACTATGGTCAATATAAGTCATGGTTTGTTCAAATAGGTCAGGATCACACCATGCTGTATTGTTAGCAAACCACACAGGGCTGGCCCAATACATTTTGGCACCTGAGGTGAACCACAAAATGGCGCCCCCCTCCTTGTCTGGGAAGAAGGGGTGAGTGAAGTTCTACATGAGGAACAGGGTGGAAATAAAGCTCTACATTACTGCTCCTGTGGGTCTTGCCTC